TAGATGCTGAAACTAAAACAACATGCTTACATGTGACATACAGTAGCATGTGAATGTACAAGATGTGGAAACAAAATTGCATTTACATGTAGATCAATATGGAAAAAAGAAGCAAGACATATTGTGCACTTTTGTTCTGTAAGTATATATAATTTATCATGTCAGTGACTTATAATTCATAAGAAAGATTTTACTGATAAAATGAGCTTATGTTTGTCTCTAAGAATGCTACTATACATATCAATCACAGGTTGAAAATCACTAAAATAATACCTACTGTAATTGTTAGTCATTTTTCTAATACTGTTTACTTGCAACAATGCAGCTTTCACAAAGAATGTGTTTTCGGTTAGTTGGAATCATTATAAATTGGTTACAATGAGCTATATAAAAGTATACATCTTGAAGAAAGAAGAATTTAATCAGATGAAGTGGCAACATTCAGTGCTCACAGGTAGCCTTTGTTGACAAGCAAGTGTCAATAGAAGGTCTTCTTGAAGGTACAGTGCTGAAGTTTAATATTGTACATATATATATATTTGTATGCCACATGGCATTTCAATCTTACAAGTTACTTAAATGGTTTCTTCTTACTTGCACAATTTAGTACATGAAGTTGTGTATACTGCTAGTGATATAAACATATTGTTACAACAGCGGAAATCACGAGACACTGGGAGCATGCACGCTGGAGTTTTTAGAAGGATCATGAATTATCGAGGAACTCCGCAAACGTCTCAGTGTTTGCCAGATGCCCTCTTTTTTAGTATATAAGCCTGGCGAGAAAAAACCAGCACAAAGTCAGAGATATATAGATCGAAAATATAGATAATTGAGTCAAGCGAAAAGTAGGCACCGTACATAAAAGTGTGTGAATCGCTGTGAATTATAGTGTGTGTTTATAAAAGTAGTTAAGTTAAAGTGTCTGTGCAAATTCTATGTATTACTAAAAGTTGTATCAAGAAAGAATAAACTAGTTTCAATCAAGACAGGACTTGTATCGCTGAAGTTCTTCGCAAAGAATTTCTACCAGAAATTAACAAACAAGCAGATACGTAACAAATTGGTGTCAGAGAGTGGGACGGAAAATTATAAATAAAAATAAAAAATAAGATGGAAACGAGAAGTGGCAAATCAAACCACGACTTAGCAGATTTGATGGTAGCAATACAAGAACACCAAAAGGAACAACAAGAACGAGAAAAGAAACAAGAAGAGAGACAACAGCAGTGGCAAGAAAACCTGCAACAGTGGCAGCTTGAACAGCAAAATAAACAAGAGAGATTACAGCAGTTGTTGGTGGAAAAAGAAAAGAAACAAGAAGAGAGATTACAGCAGTTGTTGGAGGAAAAAGAAAAGAAACAAGAACAGAGACTACAGCAGTGGTTGGATGGGGAAATAAAAATGAACAAGAAGAGACTACAGCAGTGGTTGGAGGAGAAAGAAAATAAACAAGAAAGTCTACAACAGTTGAGAGAAAGCCAGCATACACAAACAAAAAAAAATATTAAATTTCAAAGTAAATTAAATACATTAAAGGACGATTTACTGTCTTTTACACAGGGAGGATATATTAACCATGGACCTAATCAGCCCCTTCCAGACCATGCAGCTAAACCCTAATGCAAACATCTTCAGTCCTGCCAGAAGTCACATTCCAGACATGAGTGTCAGCAATAGGGGTGATCTAGTACGAAATAAATTGATGGACAGAGGAGCAGAAAACAGTGTACTTGGAAAAAAGCTTGAAGGGACAACCACTGGAAATACTTGGACAGTTCTCAGCAGAAGACAGGCACAACTATAGAGCACTGGTAGCTGCTCTAGAACTCAGGTATGGAACTCAAAATCAGTCCGAAGTCTACAGGGCTAGGTTTAGGACTAGAGGGGAGAGCCTGCAAGAACTGGCACAAGATTTGGAAAGTATGGCACACAAGGCCTACCCAACTGCATGACCCGAGGTCCTCAAGCTGTTGCTGAGAGATCAGTTTGTAGACGCCTTGGACATTCCACAACTGAAGATACAAGTAAAGCATGCACACCCCTCTACTATACAAGATGCAATGGTCAGAGTTCTTGGATTCGAATCCTACGTTAAGTCCAGCACAGAGATACCAAGGTTGGTACAGTCATCAGGATTCAAGGCCAGAAAAGGGCAGCTTTCAGAGAAGTTTGATGGACTTTGCTGGCAC